TTTCCTCCTTGCCTAACTCTGCCGTGCCTTGTCAGTCCCGAGCCCAGAGCCATGGGAGCGAGTGGTGCAAATTCCCCCAGGCCCCTCAGCCACTGCCACCTGCTCTGCCTGGGGAATTCTGCAGGCATTATTTGGGCCTGTGCACGATGAATCTGTCCAGACAGAGGCTGCCCTGTACTAGCAGGCCCTTGGAGTAATCTCCCCCCTCATGCAGGGGAGCCCAGCCACTAATGTCTCAATGAAAGGGAGGCTCAGGGTCAGGAATGGTCCACACTGGGCTGTTCCCAGTACCACAGGCTGTCAGTTAGAAGGGAGCCCATCTCATGCCTGGGCAGGATTCTCTGCAATACCCCGAGGTGGTCACTCTGCCTCTGCCCAAAGCCCTCCAGGGAGTGGGGAGCCACCTCTTCCCAAAGCAGCCTGGCCTTCTCTGAGACAGCTCGAGTGCTTGGGAAGTGGCCTCCTTAAACTCCCTCTTGCCCTGCCCCCACCACTCCTTGGTGGACCCTGTGGGGCCAAGCAGGACAAGGCTAACCTCCCTATCCTATGACAGAGCCTGGAAGGCAGCTCTCCCATGCCCAAGGCCTTCTCTTCTCTGGTCTGGAATATGACAATAGTGAGGAGGAGGAGGAGGAGGAGGAGGAGGAGGAGGAAAAAGAAGAAGAGGAGGAAGAGGAGGAGGAAGAAGAGGAGGAGGAAGAGGAGGAGGAGGAAGGGGAGGGGAGGAAGAGAAGGAAAGTTAATCCATTTCTACGGTTTTTAGGTTTGTACAGTCCATCCTCTGACTGCATCCCTCTCTTCATCCTGACCACTTCCTTTCACTGACCTAGGTCAGCAGGCCCCAGCTTGGGGACCTCCTCCTTCACACAAGACAGCACCAAGCCAGGCTGCTTCCCATGGCCCACCACAGGGATGCATGGAGACAATGGGAACATGATGCCAGGTGGATGTGGGGGGAGGGCAAGGTGACAGGGAGTCCATCTGAGCATATAGAGGACAGAAGAAAGAGCTTTACTAAATGGGGCTTTCCTGTCACTGCCCCTGTCAACGTTGCTCACACGTTCATTGAGGGTCCTCTGTTCCCTGGCTCATCTGCCCAGAGCCCCCCCATCCCTGGCTGCGGCTTTGAGGAAAGCTCATACAATGGTTGCTGGAGATTCCAGAGCAGAGGGGCAACCTTGGGGGGCCAGGGAGGGAGACATCGGCTATGGCCAGCCCCATTTGGTTCTGAGAGCTGTGGCCGAGGCTGCTGTCTGCGGCTGTCTGGGAGCTTGTGGAGGGGCAGGGTCCCCAGGAGATCTCGGTGCTACCCCCACCTTCAGCTTTGCCAGGGCCCCAAGAGGACCACTTCCTATCACCAAGCATTTGTGCTTCCCATGCCCTGTTCCATCCCTGGCTGGGCCCAAATAATACCAGCTAAGTTTGTGATCAGTGTGTCCAAACCAAGGCTGCCCTGAGCTGTTCCAAGAGGGGCAGACCTGAGCCTTAAGAGAAGAGGCACGTGAAACCAGGATCCCCTGAGGTTGGGGGTGCTCTCCATCTGGGGCCTCAACCCCCACCAACTAAACAGGAGCCCCAATATCCCCAGCCGGGCTTGGCTGGGCTAGTCTCTGGCCCACCCTTCTTGTCATCAGTCTCCCTCAGGCCTTGGGCCCCTCTTGGGCCCAGAGAGCTTCAGCATGCTGATGTTGGAGGACTTTGAAGATATCTCCGCAAGAGTCTTTGAAGACTGCCCCCTGCCCCACACAAAGAGTGGCAAACAGTCCACAGATGAGGAGCCAATAAGTGGGGTGCTGGGGAAAGGTCACCCAGAAGAGATCTGGCTACCTGCAAACTGGCTTCTCTCCCCCCCCCCCGGTCCTATGGAGGCCCTTAGGCCTCCAAAGGAAAGGCTTGGATAAAGCAGCCCTGTCCAGGGATGGAAAATCAGAAAAGGTGAGTATCCACAGCCTTGCCCCAGCCTGGCACGGCAATAGCTTTCTCCCACTGACCAGCTGGATTTCCTTTGATCAGTCCAGGCCTGCCTGCATCTTGGCCGGGGCGTCTGGGAGCACACAAACCTCGCTGGCCACAACAGGAGGAGATCTGCTGGTGACACCAGCAGCCTTCCAGCCATCAAACCTGCACCGTCTTGATGGAGCTGCCAGGATGCCTCAGTCACTAACAGCAACATGAAGCCCCTCCCCCAGCCCGCCACTTCTACTACAAACCCAGCCCCCGACCTGTTCCCCATTATCCTCCTCATCTCTTCCCAGGCCCAGGCTGGAGGAAGGCTGGACCAAAGGCCCTTCCAGCTACCCGTTCTGGGCATCTGGATGCCCTCACATCTGCACACTGTTCCGTCCCTGTTCATTTCAGCAATAAAACCGTTATTCATGCATCTGTTAACCGCCCGCTCCATTTGTTGGAAGGTGGAGGGAATGCCTGAGAGAGGCCATGAAGAAAGCAGCCCAAGCCAGTGGGTGGGAAGGAGCCTGCCTGAGCAAGCCAGCAGGCCTTGCTGCCGGGGCCTGAGAAGGAGCTTGTGGGCTGGGGGGTCTGGAGTCCGGTCTCCCTTCCCTTTCAGCCCAGCTTTTTGTTGGCTTCCTTGTTTGTTTTTTAGTTAGGAGTGGTGGATGGTGTTGCCCATGGAGGGGACTCCCTGTGTGGGAGGTCCCTCTGCTAACCCCTCAGCCTCTTCGTCTCAGAGGGCTGCCAAGGCCTTTGAGGGATTAAGTGACTTGCTCAGGGCCACGCGGCCAGGCCATGTCAGAGGCAGGAAGTCGACCTGACTCAAGGGCCTACTCTCCTATGGTCTGGTGGCCTGTAGGCCCCTCTCAGGCCTTTAGGGGTCTGACCCCAGAAGAGAAGCTGAGTTCCAAGGGACAATTCAGATTCTCTGAAGACCCACTGAAGTCGTACTCCAAGGCCTCACTGTGGTGTGGATGTGTCCTGGAGTGGCCCCAAGCCCACCAAGCCCACCAGAACAGCAGTAGCTCTGTGGACCATCTGAGGACCCTGGAAGGATGGCAGGAATTCAGGAATCCCCCCCCCCACCTCCAAAGGCCAAGAAAGGCTGTGATCGGCCTCAGAGGAAAGATTTCCCAAAGGGAACATTTGCAAGCCCTGAGGCAATATTTTAGTAAAATTGCTGGGCTGGCGCTGATTGATGGAGGAGCCATCTCCACTAACTGCTCCTCTCACTTCCAGTGCCCCTACAAGGCAGGTCGGAAGGCATGCGCCATTAGCCCATTTTACAGCCAAAGGAAATGACCTTCGAGGGGACAAATGTTTGCCAGGGCCATGTATACAGCGAGTCTGACTGTCTAGATTTAAAGCCAGGTCTTGGTGCCGAATCACTCACACTCCAAGATCATAGTCATTTTCTATCATCTCTGTGACCTCGGACAAGTCCCATAGCTCGCCTAGGCAGCAGGAGCCCAGAGCAGACAACCTCTGAAGGAGAAGAATGATTCAGGCCACTGGACAGATGAAAACCTGGAAGGGGCTGATCTCCAAGACCTCCCACTCCTCCAGCCACCTCCCACTGCCCAGCAGTGCCCACATAGAATCCCAGAACTCAAGCTGGGATGGAGCTTGCCATCATCTTGTTCATCTCAGTCCCTGGAGGAGGGGCAGAGGAGGGGACTGAGGCATCCCAGAGGGGCACATAGGACTTGCCCAACTAAGATCAGTCCCAGAGCTAGTGAGTGGATGAAATCATCCATTTCTGAAGCCAGAAAGTAAAAGGTTCTTTGGAGGCTGGTCATCCGAAGGAGCCAGAGAGAGCGATATTCACCCTATCCCTACAGCGTTTGCCTTAAGAATTAAAAGGAGAAGCTGGCATTGTGGAGGATTCCAGGAGCTGTCTGGGCCATGGGATCACTAGGACAGCCAAAGACCTCCCACAGGCACAGAACAGCTCATCCACCTGGGCACGGGCCTAATACAGTGATGGCCTGAAGTTCTAGGAACTGGGGATGTGTGGGGAAGAGAGGCAGCTCAGCTAAAAGGCCCCACTGGTGCCTTGGCACCTTCAGGACAGTGCACCATGCTGCTGCTGCAGCAAGGCCAGGGCACCTAGTTGCCCAGCCAACCATGGTAGTGCTGTAGCTGCACCCCAAGAAGGGAGAGGGGGAGGACTCCCCGATTCTCAGCCCTGAGACTTTCCAGATTCCACCTACACACTCTCAGGATGGGAAAGCCAGAGGCAACTCAGAAGCTGCCTACCATTAGGTGGGTGGGTAAGAAACAGAGAGGAGCTGCTGCTGGCAGAGAGATTGGCCCAGGGGCCACTCCAAACCATGCCCGCAGCCCAGCCTGGCCTCACCTTGCAGTGCCAGCAGCCCATCAGCAGCTCCCTGTTCCTTATGGCATGTGTGTGAGGAGGAGTGGCTGCAGGGCCAGACTCCAGCGCCACCTCCACATACCTCCACACCCCGCAGAGCAGAACAGAACAGAAGGGCCAGGGAAGGGGGCAGCCATAAAGCAGCTCCCCAGTAACGAAAGGGCCTGGTTGGCTGGCACACACGAGCTAAGGTCCTCTAGAACAACTTACACAGGTGTGTGCTCAGCTCTGCAGGAGCACGAAGCCATGAGGGCACTGCCAGGAGCGCCCCTACGGACGCGGGGGTGGGGTGGAAGGAGGGTTGGCACTGGGCTCCTTTTCAATAGCTAAGGCACAGAAGCCCTCCCGCAGAGGCCTCCTCTCCAGAGAACTGGAGCTCTTCCTTCCTGCCAGCCGTGCCAGCTCCCACGCGAGGGGTCTGGCTAAACCTGTTGGGCGCCAGGGACGTCTGGCTGCCCAGCTCCGAGCGTCCGTCCCCGAGTGCTGCGGATAACGCACCAGGCCCCCGGGAGCTGGCGGCCAGCACGTTGGCCCCGGGTAGCCAGGGCAGAGGGCCGGGCTCCATGGGCTGTGGGGGTGGTGACCTGGTCCTTATTCCATTCCGACCCCGGCGCTCGGCTCTGCTCTGCCCGACTTGGCTCGGTCCCCAGGCCCGACCAGTGTCTAGGCTTACCTCGCTTCTGCAGCAGCCTCCGCTCGCGCAGACGGGCAGGTGGGCACCAGGCCGGGCCGGCGTCTGGAACTGCAGACAGCGGCGCCCAGCTGAAGTGCTCCGGGGGCCCGGGCTGTCTCGCTGTCCCCGCGCCGGCTTTCTGCCTCGCTGCCAGGCGGGGGGCCGCGTCTACGCGTTGCTGCCGCGGCTCCTGCTGCGGCTCCTGCTGCTATTGCTGCCTCTCCTCCTCCTCCTCCAGCTCCTCCCTCTCCTCGTCCTCGTCCTTGTCCTCCTCCTCCCTCTCCTCTCCTCCTCCTCCTCCTCCTCCTCCTTCTCCTCCTCCTCCTCCTTATCCCGGCGCGGCTGCAGCCGCCAGCTCTCTGCTCAAGCCAGACAAGACACCACTGGTTCAGCCTCCGGGCCGCGGAGGGGCGGGGCCAGAGCGCAGCAGACCACCGCCCATTGGGTCCTGGGCGTGCCGCTGCCCGATTGGGCCGGGGGAGCGGGCCCCAACCCGGCCGGCGTCCAATGGCGGGTCCGGCGCCCGGGCCGCCCCTGGGGCGGACACCTGGGCCCTGGAAGGGAGGGTGCTGAACCTGGGCGGGAACCTGGGACCCGAGGGGCAGAAACGGGCGCCGTCGAGCCAAGAGCGGACCAGTCTTTGCCTCCAGGCCCGGGCCCTTCCCAGCCGCTGCCGTCTTTGTGCCTCAGGCTTCTCCTCTGGGAAATAGGCTTGAGCCGCTCTCGCCGGCTCATACCGAGCCAAGCTGTCTAGCAGCTGGAGATCTCTCATTATCAACCGGGCTGGGATTGGAGCGGGCGTGGGTTAGGGGCTCAGCCTCAGGCCACATTTCACAGCCCCTCCAGCTGCCACCATCACTCTAGCCCCCGCCTTAGGGTCGCCAGTTGCATGGCAGAGTCAGGGCTAGAAACAAAGCCGCAGTCCTGGACCCCTCCAGTCCTAGGATCCCGGCCATGGCCCAAAGCAGGGCCCCATAGTCCCGGAGCTCATCCTCTGCCTCTCTCACTCTCTGGCATGCTCCCTTGCAGCAATACCCCTAACCACTAGGAGCCCCTGGGCCACGAAGGGGTAGAAGCCAGAATCCTCATCATCCTGCGAGGTGATGAGATGGGGAGGGGGGAGACCAAGGCTCAGTTGGGTCGCAGATGGCTCAGACGCACACCACACGCATCTTCTCCTGAAAGCATGGCCTGCCTGGGAAGTGCTCACTGTCCCAGGGTGGGCCTTGAAAGAAGGAAGGGGAAAGGGAGGCCAAGGACCTTGGGCTCCTTTGGCACTCACTCACTAACTCATCCATCCATTCATTTATTCTTTCCTCCATTCATTCAACAAACATTTCTTGTGTTCCTGTGAGTCTGCGATCTCTAGGAGCTACCCTTTCTAAAGGTGGAAAGGGAAGCGGAGATACAGCTGGTACCCAAAGTAATGGAGCACAAGTACTGGGAAGGATCTGGGTGGGCCTTGTGGACGAAGTGACCCCTGAAAGTGAAGCCTTGAAGAAATCTCAGGTTTCTGGGAGGCAGAGATGAGGAAGAAAGGCCTTCATTCCGGCAGGAGACACAGCCCACACAAAGTCATGGGGGTGGGAGATGGAATGTGTTGGACAGGAAACCCCGTGTGTAGGCTCCTACCGTGTGCTAAGGTGAACAGGGCCTCAGTGTGCCCCCCCATTTTTGGTGGGGAGACGCTGTGTTGGGAGCAGAAGGCAGCTTTGGCTGGCCTCACTGTGTTGACTTTTTGGTCCCTGCTGCCTTCTCCCCTCACCCTGCTCCAGACCACAGCCCCAGGAGAGGCTGTCTATCATCAAATCCATGTCTCCTGTTAGTATAGGGGCTTTTGAAGGGGAGAACCTTGTATTGCAGCAGCCAGCCTGAGGGGAATCACTGAGAAGAGTCCTTAGAAGCAGAGCTGCTTGCAGGAATCTCAGACTGCCTGGGCCCCATGCCAGTGTCTGCAGCTGGCCCAATCACCCATCTGTGTCAGGCCATGATTGATGGCTGTCCTTGGCTGTCCCAGAGACAGACCGAATATGCTGAAGCAATCGTGGGCAAAGCCAGGCCCTCAGACACTGCCTAGGGTCTCTTCCCTTGAAAGTAACCAAAGGCTGAGCAGATGTAGATAGGAACTTCCAGCTGGGAATACCCCAAAGCGACAGTGTCCCCAGCTCTATTGTGGTTAAAGTCATGCTTAGGGAATTTCTGTCACATGATATTGTAACAATATATCCAACTGCTGCCGGACCAAAGAGCTGGGACCCCCCCCCATCTTCTCAGCTCTAGATCCTCCCATGCAGACTCAGTACAGGGTGGGGGGGGAGGGACAACGGCCTCTGCAGGAACTAGGGCCAGATTCCTTTTCTCCTTATCTCTGACTCTTTATGGCCCCAGAGCCTCGGGGAGACTGGTTCAAAACTTATCTTTGAATCAAGTCAAGAGAATAGAAAGGTACCCAATGTACAAAGTATAGGCAGCTACTGATTTCCTGTAGACAAAAACACAAGTAGGTGAACAGAGGAACCACTTAAGCAGCAGTAATACAACAACTGTTACACTCTCTTGGGAGGTTTATCCTTAAAGCACTCAAACGTGAGGCATTCCACTGGACTGCAGGATCAGCGTTTCATCTTCACTTCAACTCTGGTCTGTCCCAAATACTCCCACAAGGTCCCTGTCTTCCAGTGAGCCACTCCCAGCTCGGAGCTCCTCCTCCAATCCCTGGTGGTCATTCCCTCCAAAGGGTAAACTTCTCCTACTGCTACTCCTTCCTAACAGAGTGATCGAGGAGCTCCAGCCTCTAGGGCTCACAAGGCTTCCTCCAGACCTGGAAAAAAATGCTTAGGAAAGAAGCACAAAGCAGAAGAGGTATCTAGGGCTTTGAGATCCAGTCTCACGCTCACCTGGCCTAGTAGTTTGACTAACCCTAACCCTTTCTTTTGGTCTACTTTGGTAGGAACGTACGGTATTGGTATACAGGCACTCAGCCGTGCTGAGATGTCAGCAATCTGAAGAGCATTTGGTCAGGTATGGTCTGGCTTAGCAGCCTCCCTGCTCCTCCCAGCTCTGAGAGTCTGTGTTTCTGTGGATGAATTCTGTGAAGAGAAAGTCTTCGCTTCAGTTAAGGAGAATGAGGCAGCTCATTGGATCTTGGTGATGGGGGTCCTCTCTCCAGCCCAGCCTGGGCACACTCCTGGAAATCTTCCCCGGGGATCCACCCAATTGATAGCCTGCAATAGAGGTTCTTTTTAAGGAATTATTTTCTTCAGTGAGCTTTTGGACCTCCTTTTCCATTTGGCCAATTCTGCTTTTTAAGGCATTCTTCTCCTCTTTGGCTTTCTGGAACTCTTTTACCATTTGGCCTAGTCTGTTTTTTAAAGTGTTATTTTCTTCAGTATTTTTTGTGTCTCCTTTACCAAGCTGTTAAGTCTTTTTTCATGATTTTCTTACATCATTCTCTTTTCTCTTCCCAATTTTTCCTCTGTCTCTCTTATTTGATTTTAAAAATCCTTTTTGAGCTCTTCCATAGCCTGAGACCAATTCTTATTTTTCTTAGAGGCTTTGACTTTGTTGTCTTCTTCTGAGTGTGTGTTTTGATCTTCCTTGTCACCATAGTAACTTTCAGTAGTCAGAGGGTTTTTTTTCTGTTGTTTGCTCATTTCCCCAGCCTGTCAGTTGACTTTTTAAGTCTTTGTTAAAATAGGGCTCTGCTTCTAGGATGGAGGGTGAACTGTCCCAAGCTCCAGGGCTTTTGTGCAGCTGTTTTCAGAGATACTTCTAGGAACCTGTAAGTCTTCAATTCTTCCAAGGTGATATGATCTAAGAAGAGGTGTTTACTCCTCTCCTGGCCTGTGCTTTTGTCTGTGACTGACCACAAACACTTCTTTCTGCCCTGGAACTGTGAGGAGGGTCCCTGCTCCCCTGTGGTCACAATCTCTGGTGCGCTAGTGCTCCTCCTTGCCCTGGGACTGCCACCCAGGACTGCAGCTTGGATCTGAGTATGGGCAAAGCCACAGAGTCCTGCCTCCGTGCTAGCAAAGAAAGCCCTGAAATCTCCTTCTGACCAGTTGTTTGACCCCCTTGCCATCTGTGGGCTGAGAGCTCTGGAAGCAGACACTGTAGCTGCTGATTCAGTCACTCCCAAGGCCTATCCTGGGTTTGCCTGGGCTCTGTGTGTGCTGGACTGCGCTCCTCGTTCACCCTGGTGCAACAGACCTTTCTTGCTGACCTTACAAGTTGTCTTGGGCTGGAAATTTGTTTCACTCCATCCTTTTGTGGGTTCTGCTGCTCTAGAATTTGTTTAGATTCATTTTTAAAGGTATTTGGAGGGGTTCGGGGGAGAGCTCAGGGGAGTCCTTGCCTTTACTCTGCCAAACTTGGCTCTGCCTCCCTGCACTAGTGGTATTATGGACATACCTGGAGCTCTTGGGCTGTCTGCAAGTGATCTCTCATGCTACCTGAGTAACTAGCTTGGCTGGTCATGCATACCCTTGAGGACCCTGCATCCTCTGTGCATCTTTGGCTGGTCATATGTGGCAGCCCACACACTCATCACGCGTGGCTCCACTGCCCTTGGAAGGACTTTTTAATTCTTCAGAAACCTTGGTGTCTTCAGATGGGTGGCCACATGGTGCCAATGCAGACTGATTATAAGCTACTTGATGGTAGAAACTCTATCATTGCTGTCTCTGTGTCTCCAGCATCCATGACCCAAGCCCATGAATGGGCAAGCACACAGTGTGTGGCACTTCAAACAGTTTTTGTTGACTGACAGATTGATTGAAGTCATCCATGCTGAAGGTATGAGAAGGGAGCAGACAGACCTTGGTAAGTCAGGTGCCACAGTGGTTCTCCTCTCTGCAGCCACACAAACAACTCAAAGGTAAAGAGAACCCCAAAACCCACCAGGAGGGCTTAATGCTAATAGACTGAAAATCATTCGATTGGGTCAAGCCCAAAGCTGCCTATGAAGCCTGACTCCTGCACAGAAGCTAATCATTTAAGATTCTTTGCAAGATGGTACAGCTGAGATACCTACCCAGCAACCCTCTGCTTATCATTATTATCTCTGTTCAACAAATAGAAGACATAATAGGAGCAAAGTAGAGAAATAGCTTATTTGAAAAAGACTTTTGGCACAGCTAAAAGTATGTGGAAGCAAAAGGAAATCCAATTTGATTCAATAAACATTTATTTTAAAAGGAAAGAAATAGATTAGGAAAAATCTTGGCTGCAAACATTTCTTATAAAAATCT